ATAGTTCGTTAAATCTGAGATACACATTTTTCTGTATGTGTTAATATCTCTGAAGCCAAGATGCATCCTGTAATTCATGGCATGCCATAGTTTAATTGGCAGCCTCTCTCTCTGATACATAGTATCATGGTAAACCTACAGTCAGTTAGTACAGTCAGTTACATCATAGATTCTGTGAATCTCCCGTGCTAGTGTTCGTATCTTTTCAGGCCAGGGAAGAGTGACACAGGGGTCTCACTCTTACAAGGCATTCTTTTTCATTTTGGCCAAACTTCATACTCGGGGCATTTTGCTGGTAGACCAATGAGTAGAGTAGGTTCAGAGATGGAGAGAATTCCGAAAAGCCAAAGGGAAGGGGGGGCATGCAGGTCTGCTCAAGGACCGAAAGGTACCACATGGGTCTTCACGTGGTTGGTGCCATGGGATGGGCTTTTCTCAGCCCCCAGCCAAAGCAGCTCCTCCTCCCTCCCTGCCCTCATCAAGGCTTGGAAGGTTTGGGTCTTCAGACCCTTAGTGTTGGGCTCTCAAAGCAAGAATATAGGCTGTTCTCTGGAACCTAGTTTCTCTGAATGCTTACTCTGTATATCAGCACCAGCGACCTAGGACAGGCAGGATTTGTTTCCTAACCCTGATTTCTTAAGATAAACCGTTTTCTCCAAAGTCCACCCAAATAGCTGGTTAGTATCACCTTTCCAAGGAGACTTTGCTGACCTGCAGAGGCAGGACTAGTAGACGTATGGCAGACTGGTCGTAGATTTCAGATGCTCAGCCACAGAATCCAGGCTTGGAGTCAAGCTCAGGATCAAGCCCTTCCTCTCGGTAGCCCTGTTTTTCCTCCATGATCTCTCCGTTTTTCTTGGGGTCCTCCATTTGCACTTACTTACACCTCGCCTGGTTATACCATTTATGCCTCTCTCATCTCAAGAAGAAAACCCTGGCAAAGCCTGGGAGTAATGAAGCAAGTGGGTTGAACTTAAGCAGGGAGAGATTAACTGTAGGCTGCTGTCCTTCCCGACCCTTGGGTATTTATGTTCCACCCTGACGCTTTCTTTGTGCCTCTCACCCCCCAGTGCTGTTCCCTCGCCACACCAACACCAGTGCCCGAGACAACACCATCAACCTGATCCACACGTTTCGGGACTACCTGCACTACCACATCAAGTGCTCTAAGGTGAGAGTTGCCCCCCGGATCTCAGCTTCCTGTGCTCCATGTCTCCTCTCCACCAGAGATGATCACATAAAACGCCATTCCTGTAGTTCAGGCTGTTGACAGGGGCTCGAAGTAGGTAGTTCTAGAGGCTTCAGGAAACCATGCCTTTCTTCATCTCTCTCCCTTCTTCCCCATCCCTGTTCATTACAGAGAAGTGGATATGCTAGCCTTCCTGTTTCTCTGCGTGGCCCCAGGTCTAACAGACCTTCCTGCTAACTTCTAATGAAATCAGAGCTGTCTTTCTAATACACGACTGCTTCAGTACCTGTTGTGTTTGTTCGCAGGCCTATATTCACACACGGATGCGGGCAAAAACATCCGACTTCCTCAAGGTGCTGAACCGTGCACGCCCAGATGCCGAGAAAAAAGAAATGAAAACAATCACGTAAGTAGGGCAGGGCCACGGCAAGACCGCCTTCCTCTCCTGAGCTCACCAAGAAATAAAAAATGGACATTGGTGGCCAGACCCTCCAGGTTTCTGGGCAGTAGCTACATGTGAGGCAGGCAGGATTGGGCTTATAGCTAGTAACAGACTGATGATGGAGTTAACAGATTTTCACTACTGAATGGGCCAGGCTGGGTTTCCATGTCTCCATATTTTTATGAGCTGTGAAAATGGCATCTAGAAAGCAGCAGAGAGACCATTTTGCTAAGATAAGTAGTGTTCTCTTTGGGCCTGAGTCCAGAGGGGTCAGTCTGGTCTTTTCTCAAGGACTTCCTGGAGAAATGGAATAATTTGCTTAAGAACATTAAGTAAGTAGGCCTGGAACCACCGGTGTTCTTTCCTGGTCTATTTCTCAGCAGGGATTTTGGATGGAAAAAAGCAGTGTGTGCTCTGCATGCAGGAGAGGCCAGGGTGATATGGAGCCTAAGGAGTCACATCTGCGCAAGGTGCCAGGCCTTGGTTCCCCTCCTGGCGAAATTTAGGCAGTCCTGTTCTCAAGGTCACAGGTGCTCATCTCCTGTCTTTTGTGCCAGTTGAATTAACCCTTTGGTGACCCAGTTATTTTCTCCTTTGAGTTTTTTGTTGATGCCGTGTTTTCACTAATGGAAGGCATGCTGATTAAAGGACCAATTCAGAATTTTTGTTATGATTTATGGATTTTGATACCCATTATCTGGGATCACATATGTCCCAGCGGATGCTGGACGTGGTTAATCCTACCAGTAGGAGTCAACCATAAAATCGGGTTTTTGTTCGTTTGTTTTTTTTCCTTGAAAATTTGCGAAGCCTGAGGTAAAACATGAAGACACCGGGCAATGACTGCACGTACGTTTTATTCTACTCTCCTTCTTCTTAACCTTTTTATCATTTTTTAATGAAACTATTCAAAACATGGTACAGTGCATGCTTCCTCACTGCAAAAGCAAGTATTGACAGCCCACATTGTTTTATCTCATGGAAGTTACCACTACAAGGGCATTTTTCATTACTACAAAAGCCAAAAGTAAAGTAATTTGAATCTCAGAAAAGTTAGCACTACTACATATTCTTCATTATAACAGAAGCAGTACTAACACAGCTAAGAAACAGAAACAGTCACCCTGGAGTATTACAGACCTGCTCACAGCAGTGCATTCCACCTGCTACACGTGGAAGCAATGGTTGGGCCCTAAGATTGAATGTAGGGTAAGAATAACTTACAAGAGCTCCTGAGCCTCTTGAAAACTACCACTGCAATGCATTATTCCTTATTGCAAAGGCATTACTGACTGCTCAGAAGCTAGAAAAGCAGTCCTGAAAGATTGCAGAGCAGAGCCTCAAAGCAAAACAGGGAGCCAATAACACCTGGAAACAGTGAATGGAGTCAGGGAGAATACGGCCACTATGACTGAATGAAGACTAGGAATAGCTTATTGTGATAAGTACATTCTCAGGAGAACATAGTAACTGGGAAACATAGTAAGGAGGCTTATCTCATAGAAATACAGGCAAACCTATCAAAAGTTTACAAAATTCTCACACCCAGGAGACATCCTCCAACACAGTGCTCATTCTACACAATAATGAGGCTCCAGCTCAGGGTTCCTGAGGTTCACCCATTTAAAAAGGCTCCTACCTTGAGGGTAAACATGTTAAAATAAGACTAGCCAGCTGTGGGCAGGAGGTGCCAGGACACCCACACACAGCATGGGGCAGAGGGAGGAGTCTGCAGCACCCTGAACCTGATGGAAGGAGGTGGCTGGCCACTGTGACAAACAGGGCCCTGGGTAGAAGCTGACCGTCAGAGTCAGCATGCCTCAGTGCTCTTGCCCAGAGTGGAATGCTCATGAGCTTTATATTTGGAGGGAGGGGTGATTAAAGATGATTTTACTTCTGGGTAGGTGAGACGTTCAGGGCAGGAAAAATTGAGACCCTGTATTTTTTGCTCTAGTTTTCATAGTTTTCAGCTCCACTTTCCAGGCTGCTTTACTGAATTCCCTTAGGTACCACTTACAGCCTCTGTCTTTTGGAACAAGCCTCTTCCCAAAACAAAGCTGGCCCTTTTCAGGAAATACTGAGTAGAAAAGGCCACTATGATTAGGAGCCTAAAGTCAGGCAAGTGTTCCAACCGGAGTCTAGTCACCACATGATAACATGAAGTGCCTTTAGCCTTAGATGTTTTGGGGTTTCTTTTTTTTTTTTTTTTTGATAAGTGTATATGTAACAGAACATTTGACATTTTAGCAAGTCTTCACATTCGGTGACATTAATTATATCATGTTGTTCAACCATCACCCTTATCTGTTCTGGGGTGACTTTTTTGAACAGCCTACCCCCATGGTGAAAGATTAAAGCAACTGCTCTCTACTAATCTTAAAAGGTATAAGCTTGTGGGCAGGGCCTGAACTGACTGACCAGGTAGTACTAGGAGCAGGTTGAGCCCAGTCTGCAATTCAAGATCTAGGCCTCCCGGAAATTGTGGATAAGTGATTCTCTCATCTAACTCAGTATATTTAATGTTCTTATGGGCTTAACACAGACATTACTTGGTACCCCCAGAGTGTTCAGTAGGAGCAGAGGGGTGATGAATCCAATCTATGAAAGCTGGAGCTCAGTGCCTGCCCTATAACTCCTCCGTACCTCTGCCTGAGGAATCCCTAGCCCTTTCCATCTCCTGTTGGTGTCGCTTTGGGATCCCATTCCTAGTCCAGGAGTGTGGGGTGGGAGGGAGAGTCAGCCAGAAAGTAGCCTTCACTCTTACTCTCTTCCTTTTGAAGGGGGAAGACGTTTTCATCCCGCTAACTCTTGGGCACAGGAGGAGGAAGCGACTGGCAACTGAAGGCTGGAACCCTTGCTACTGGATAATCGTAGCTTTTAATGTTGCACCTCTTCAGATTCTTAAGGGATTCTCCGTTTTGGTTCCATTTTGTACACGTTTGGAAAATAATCTACAGAAATGAGCTGCGCTTGCAAGGACTTCGTATTTCCCAAGAATTTAAAAAAAAAAAAAAGAAAAGAATAATTCCATTTGATCAACTTAATTCCTTTTCTTTATCTTCCCTCCTTCACTCCACTTCCCTTCCACCCTCTTTTCCAAGCTGTTTCGCTTTGCAATATGTTACTGGTAATGAGTTGCAGGATAATGCAATCTTAACTTGTTTTCTCCTAAGTATTTGAGTTCAAAACTCCTGTATCTAAAGAAATACGGTTGGGATCATTAATAAAGAAAATCTTTCTATCGTACTTGAGAATTTGGTGGGTTTCCATCAACAAGATAGATTGACACAGTGGCTGCAGCAAGGGCTCAAGCATAAAAATGATTGTGAGGATGGCGAAGGACCAGGCAATATTTTGTTCTGTTGTACATAGGGTCGCGCTGAGTGGGAACTGACTCCACGGCACCTACAACAACAACTACTGGACGATGGGTCAAAAAGAAAGAGGCGGCGGGAAGAAGGGTAGATCTGCACTGCCCGCGAACCTGCAAAACTGAGCTGGAAACCTCGGGGTCAGGAACCCCTCGGGTCTAGATCTCTGCCTCCCCTTATAGGAGAGAATGCTAAACTCATTAGCTATTGGTTGACATTCCTAAGTAAACTTGAACTTACTAACGATAAAGCTTAGTCACTAAGTCTAGTGACCTGGCCCCTCTGGTCCTGAGTGGCCAAAAGCTCCCAGGACAATGACAGGCAAATATAATTGTTTTCTGACTTTTCCTTCCTTTATAATGACTACTGCGTAGTATTTCCTAAAATGTGTTTCATGGTGTATGCGGCTCTGCAGGACACTGATGAGTATTTACGGGTGGACTTAATGCAAACTAATTGACCACAGTTCTTTCTCACAGAAGAATTTCAGGGGCACCTTTCCAGTTGTCTGAGAGCTATCCTAATGGTTTCTGCCATCTTGTTATCCCTTTAAATTTGTCTCAGTCTAAGGCAGCAGGTTTCACAATGGTTTGAGACTCATTAATGAATTGTGAAATCACCTTACTGAGTTACAGCTAGAATTTTTTGTCCTAAACTTTTCATTTTAAGATAAATGTAGATTCACATGCATTTGTAAGAAATGACAGAGAATGAGCCTGTGTACCCTTCACCAGTTTCTCCCAGTGGTTACATCTTGCATAACTAGTACAATACCACAACCAGGAAATGGACATGGACACAACCCCTACCTTGTTCAGAGTTCACCAGGTTTATAGGCACTTGTTTGTGTGTGTGTTATGTATTTCTATGCATTTTTACCACCTGTAGCTTCGTGTGACCAGCATTTTTTTTTAATCGAATAGTATAGACTAATCAGAGTCATCACACCTGCTAAGGGACAGTGCTGAATTAGAAATGTGTTTCAGCTGTATACACACATCTTGCTTGGATTATAAAAATGCATGATTACTATGGGTCACAGTCAAGAAGTTTGAAAGCCAGAGGTCTTTCAGTTATCCGGACTTCATTTAAATGTGCTTTTAGAGAGCTCAGGGGGCTCTGATTTCCCACCCTAATTTGGTTTCTTTGCTTCATGCAGTTCTCCGAAGGTGGCCATCGTGCTTGTTGTAAGCAGTCACCTGTGTGAAGCTTAATTCAAGGTGGAGTATCAGTGAACACAGATGTGTAACTTACATAAAATGAGTTGTTGAGGGGGTAAAAATTTTAATCGTGAAGACAGTTGCATGTCCATCCCCTCAACAGTGCCCTGGGAGTGCTGTCGCCTCAGTGAGGCTGACCTTGTGGCCTCAAGTAGGGGGAGGTCTTCACCATGCTGAGTCTGCCTGGTGGTTTCCTGGTCTTTCATATCGCTTAGATGGCTGATCTATTCCAATGCTGGAAGAAAACCTGAACTAGATATCTCGAGAGATGGTGACATAATCTGTTCTGTACCCTATGGACCATTTAAGGAGTTTTTGAAGAGTAATTATGACAAGAAGTTTTTTTTTTTTACTTTCTTGCTGACTTTATAACCTAACTCCTTAGTAAGTTGGAACTCCACTGTGATCTCTCGCCAATAATGGGAATCAAATTTCTGAAAAGTAGATGGTAAAATGAAGGTTGCTTAGAAAATATGGAGTTAGGAGAGAAAGAGGCATTAAATATTAATTTTTTACAGCAATAAATACTAAGGAAGTATCTAATTCTAAAAGAAAACTATTTGTCGGCATTAAAAACCGATGTTGGTGAAAACCCCTCTCCATACTCACTCCTCCCTCTTGTTTCCAGGACACACTAAGCATTAGCGTGGATCTAGTCTCAAAGGCCCTTATTCCCCTTTGTGTGCAAAGAGGGCCACTGTCACGTCAGCCAAGGCCCATAGGACTGTGGGAGGAGGGTCATTTCATGAGGAGAGTCAACACTGAGGTGATGGGAGCTGGGAAAAAAGTGATCTAGTCTGAATTACTGGTAATTGGCTCACATGCCCCTAAGAGTTCATGCATGGGAAGTGTGGTGTCCTTGGGTATGGGCTGTGGAGGCATAAAACAATGTTTTGGAGATAGACCTGGGTTTGAATCCAGGTTCCACCACTTAATAGCTGTGTGACTGAACCAGTTTATCAGTCTACTTCACAAAAGGAAAAGAGAAAAGGTAAGTGTCTATCACATCATGGGCAGTTATTAAGACTTAATCTTAGTTCTTTTCCTAGACACTCAAGGGGATCATAAGGAGCAGCACTGCTGAGGAAGCAAAACAACATAAGCCAAGCATCATGTTGCTATTCTGTGTTGGGGGTTTCCAAGGCTGTAAATCTTGAGGGAAGTGACTGCCACATCTTCCTCCTGTGGAGTGGCTGGTGAGTTCGAACCGCCTACCTGTTGGTTAGCAGCTGAGCGCTTTAACCACTGCGCCCTCCCTGCTAGGACGGCCTTTCCTGCAGCTGGGCTGGACTCTCCATGTCTGGATAAAGTGGGACTCAGGCAAGCTAAGAACTAGGAGCCTGGGAGGAAACCTGTTGCCATCGGGTCGATTCCAACTGATAGCAACTCTATAGATAGAGAACTGCCCCACAGCGTTTCTGAGGAGCGGCTGGTGGATTTGGACTGACCGTTTGGTTAACAGCCATAGCACCAGAAGTAGGAGTTTGGAGGAAAGGAAACAAGATTACAATAGGAAGTGAAGGGGTGGGGTCAGAGGGCGGGGAAATTCAAACCAGAAGGAAATGGCCCTAGCTGCTGCATCAGTCTCCTTGAGGGGAGCTGATACTTCACAGTTGTCCTTCAGTTACCTTCAGTCTCTTGGAGCAGGTCTGATGCCCTAGTCCCCACAGCTCCGTAAGGGTAAGACCAAGCCTGGGTCATTAATGTGGTGATGATTTTGAGTTCAAGCAATGCTGCCCCCCTCGGGAGATGGTTAAAAAATGCTGTCATTTCTATGGCTCCTTTTGTGACCCAGCCAGCCAGCCCAGACCTAGAGACTGGTCGTTTAGACATAACAGGAAGGACCGGGGTTTATTCTGTTCATACAACTGACTTAGGGCTTCCTGATGCCCAAATCCTGGCCAGTGTCTTGGTCATAGTATTGTTCCCAGAGCCCTTCAGAGGCTCCAAAAGGCATGTCTGCTTGCCTATGGGAAGTGAAGCACTAAACAGTGGTTCAAAGAGGCCAACCAGGGCCCAGGAAGCCCCACTGCCTGTCTGCCTCCACTTGTCCAGATTCTGTGTTCCCAGCCCTCGCATATGACACCCAGTCCCAGACTCTGGTCAGCCGAGAGACATTCAAACATACAAGAGAATGGAGGAGACAAAGGAGATCCAGGAGAGTTCAATGCCAGAGTCTAGATATAGGCTGAACCTCAGGAAAGGAGATCGGGGTCCATGATGGGGGCTATAAGGGCCTGCAGAGTCTGTGAAACATCTGAGAACTGTTCTCACCAGAGCCCTCATAGTGGACCAAGGGGAGAAGGGAGAAGGCTGGGGATGAGTCAGTCCCAGGGCATGCCGGGGGTGCAGAGAGGAACTGGCTGATCCAGTAAGAAAGAAGAGGGGCTGAGTGGGGGGCAGACCCAGGCTTCCCAGCTCCTACTGCCTAAGTTGTCCCCCTCCACATGTCATCCCCACACACACTGTTTAAACAGAGCGGCGAAGAAGAAACACAGACATCCGGGATTCCTGCAGGGAAGAGGCCAGGGCTGGGAACAGAAGGCGGTCTGTTTATTCCTGGCAGCCCACTATCCGAGGGGCCCCACACCCACTTCTGTCCAGACCCCAGGATGAACTCTCCCAGAGCCCCTGACTTCTGTCCCACCAGATAGCGTAGGGCTGAGGGCCATCCGTCTGCTGGAACCCAGAGTCGGCCCGCCCACCAGCTCCCTGGAGGATGGGTTTGAGGCTGGATGCTTTCCTCCTCCCTGTTCTTGTCCCAACAGAAGTCCTGTCTTCCCAGGCTCCCGATTGGCTGTGCAGGGTTAGCAGAGCTAGACTCAGTCCTCTGGTGCTTCAGGCCCAGGTCTCCCTCAGAGAGCTCAGAAGTCCCCTTGCTCTTTCCACTTGTGCTCTTCAGTGAGGAAGTTTTTTCTAATGTCTAACCTCCAGCTTTCTTGCTGCAGTTTCAGCCTGTTTCCTCCCATTTCAGGCCTCAGGAGAGAATTACTGGCTTCTCTCCTCTCCCTCACCCCAAACCATAAAGACTGAATAAGGTAGAAACTGAAGCAGCACAGCTCTTGGCTTGCTAAGCCTAGTGTCCTCAGTTTCCCTACGGAGCGGAAGTGTCATTTCCCCATGCTTTTCACAGGCTCTCTGCCTTTCTTAGCAGAGTTCTTTCTTAGAGGGGATATGTGACTGGAGAGAAGGGACATGCAGAGAAGGGCGGAAATTCTAATAATGTTAATCATCATAGCTGCCTTTCGTTGAGTGCTTATCAAATGCCAAGTGCTGATCTAAATCCTTGTAACACATTAACTCATTTAATCTCACAACAAAAACAAAACAAAACCAGTTGCTGTCAAGTTGATTCCTAACCCATGTGTGTCAGAGTAGAACTCTGTTCAATAGAGTTTTCAATAACTGTGACTTTTCAGAAGTAGATTGCCAGGCCTTTCTTCCAAGGTGCCTATGGGTGAATTTGAACAGCCAACTTCTTGGTTAGCTGCTGAGTGCTTAACTGTTTGGGCCACTTATGAGCCCCATTTTACAGATGAGGAAACCGAGGCAAGAAAACTTTGTAATTTGCCCAAGTTCACACAGCTAAAAATGGGATCCCAGCCAGGTTTCTAACTGGGATTCAAACCCAGGCTGTCTGATTCCAAAGCTGACTCATGCCTCTTAATCATCATGGAGAAGGAAGGGAAAGAGTCATTTGTCGAGATCCGCCCCCCCGCTACCCCATTTGAGTGTTAGGCACTGGGGTATATGCAGTTACATATGTTATCTCATGATACCCCCACAACCCTGAGAGGTGGGTTTTCTTGTTCCTATTTTACAGGAGTGAAAATTGAGGCCCGCTACCCAAGCAGCCCTACACCCAAGAGCTATTTGTACCGCATAGCCTACAACTTGACTTAGAAAGTAGTTGAGAAAAGTATGGAATTACCCCAGATTCAGAAAGGCAGGGCTGGCCTTATACACTGAAAGGCCGATCAAGTGATAGGATAGAAGTTGTTTTTCAGTGCCCTCAGTTGGATTTCACTGCCCCCATGTGACAGAGTAGAACTGCCACATAGGGTTTTCTAGGCTGTAACCTTTACGATCACCAAGTCTTTCTTCCAGTGGGTAGGTTCAAACCGCTAACCTTCAAGTTAGCAGCCACTATCGCTCCTTGATGGGATAGGGGAGCTTCCTAGCCACAGCCATCTTCACACACACACTACCCTTTAGCAAACGGCAGAATTATCAAGCTGGAGCTGCCATCAGCTGGCTGGCCACTCACAGGGGTTAAGGTTCATAAAATGTAAATGTATTTGCTGGGGTAGGAAGTGGGGAGGGGCAGACCAAATCATTACTATTCATTAACTCCAATGGATTTCTCAGATTAGGTGGGCAGTAGCAGTCAACAGGGCTCTAAGATGGGGTGCCTGAGGTAGGGGAGCTGCTACCTAGGTGACAGAGGATGGCTGGCGGCTGGGGTGGGAGAGGCACTCAGTGGAGAGGTCCCTCGTTGCTGCAGCCCAGGGTGCACCAGGTCCCACCCCCAGAGGCGGGGCCGGGCCTAGCCCCACCGACCTCAGCTCCTGCATCCCTGCAGCAGCCCAGGCGGGGCAGAGCCTGGGCAGCTGCTGATCCCAAGGCCGTGTTTCCAGCACTCGCCAGCCGGGAAGCCAGACACTACCTGAAGCCCTGCAGGGTTGGCGGCGGCCACTTCTGACCCTCAGAGGAAAGCCTGGGCTGGGTGAGCTTTACCTGCCCCCCGCAGCCATGTGAGTACCCCCCCAACCTCTCGGGCCAGACCTCCACACCACAGCCCCAGATCCTGGAAAGGCCACTGCACCCAGCCCAAGCCAGTGGGAAGTCACAACCTGGGGGCTGATCCCTGCCTTTCTTGCTGCTTTGGTGCAGATGGGGTGAGGGGACTGCTCCAGGTAGGGCTGTGAACTCCAGCTCAGGACCCCAGAGGCCAGGTTTGGAGCAAGTCCTCTGAGGTCTTGTGGGATTTAATAGAATTGATGGTGCAGAGAGGGAGAGGACAGGAACTGGAAGGCCCAGGAAACAGAAAGATGCCCACAGCGGAGGGTACTTGGGAAAACTGAGGAAGATGAAAGGAGAAAGGAGCATATTGGCATGGAGGCCTGGGGCTGGGGGCCCCTGGAGGGCATGGGAATGGAAAGGGGCCTATCCCTCAGCTCAGGGTGGCTGTGAGCCCCTGATGGAGGGTAGGGGAGCTAGGTAGGATCCTTTCCTTATTGACTTTATTCCTAGCAACAGCAACTGCTCCCCTGGTGACAGAAGTGGGAGCTCCCACAGGACCCAGGACCCTCCCTCTGGTCCCCACGATTTGGTGGCAGGAGGACCACAGCTCTGGGGGACTGAGAACTGGGAGAAAAGGAAAGGAAAGGATAGGGACAGATCAGAACCACAGAGAGGCCAGGCCTTGCCCCCGGCTCCTCCCTCTCCTCTGGCTCAGTGTCAGCCCCTGGAGATGGGCGGCAGGGGTGGGGGGGGGTCGGTCTTCTCCCCACTGCTGGTACCTCCATATTACTGCCACCCCCACCCCCACCCCCAGCAACTCCTCTCCTTCCTCCAGCTCCCAGGAAGGGCCCTGTTGCTAGTGTGGATGGAACCGACGAGTCAAGTTTATGGGCTGGAAATCCTACCCGGAGGCTGCTCACTGAGCTGGAACCGGCTTCAGGGGCAGATGGGGGGAGGGGGTGCAGGGGACAAGGCACCCTGCTCGCTGCCACCCCTTGCCCTGGCACCTGCCTCCTCATTAACATGAGTGCCTCACACTTGCCCCTACCCCTTAGTAACATAACATCTGGCATAATGCTCTGGGGCCATAACTTCTTTGCATTCAACCAGGGGGTGAGCATCTGAAGACAGGGAACCCCTCATTCATCTCAGTACCTGCCCCAAGCACATCTGGCTGCCACCCGGAGGCGGCTCTGGAATATTGGCTGCTGCAAGACTGCTCACACCAGCTCCTTGCCTCTCTTTTGGCTAATTTAGAGGCCTGGCCAGGCGAAGGCAGGGGATGGACAAAATGCTTTGGGGTTGGGTGGGGCCGCCTTTCAATATAAACAGATTTTTCAAGAGAAACAAAAAATAGGGTATTCTATATAAATTTTTAATTGGCAATTAAATGTATCAGCAAACAGGGTACAGCCCACCGTTCATTGGTCCATGCCTTTGGATTAACGTGCAGTCCTCACCAGGAAGATAATGACCTGCGGGGCCTCCCTAACTCTGGCTCCCCCATCCTCCGTCTAGGCACTCTGGCTGCTTCTCCAGGCCTCCCCTCTCCCAAGGCCCAAGATGACACCCAACAGCACCGGGGAGGTGCCCAGTCCCATTCCCATGGGGACCCTGGGGCTCTCCCTGGCCCTGGCAAGCCTCATCGTTGCTGCCAACCTGCTCCTGGCCCTGGGCATTGCCCGGGACCGCCGCCTGCGCAGCCCACCTGCCGGCTGCTTCTTCCTGAGCCTGCTGCTGGCCGGGCTGCTCACGGGGCTGGCACTGCCCATGTTGCCAGGGCTGTGGAGCCAGAGCCACCACGGGTACTGGCCTTGCATCCTCCTCTACCTGGCCCCCAACTTCTCCTTCCTCTCCCTGCTTGCCAACCTCCTGCTGGTGCACGGGGAGCGTTACATGGCAGTGCTGCGGCCCCTCCGGCCCCAAGGGAACATCCGGCTGGCCCTGCTCCTCACCTGGGCTGGGCCACTGCTCTTTGCTAGCCTGCCCGCTCTGGGGTGGAACCACTGGACCCCTGGGGCTAACTGCAGCTCCCAGGCTATCTTTCCAGCCCCCTACCTCTACCTTGAAGTCTATGGGATCCTGCTGCCTGCCGTGGGTGCTGCTGCCCTGCTCGCTGCCCGCGTGTTGGCCATTGCCCACCGCCAGCTGCAGGACATCCGCCGGCTGGAGCGGGCAGTGTGCCGCGGTGAACCCTCGGCCCTGGCCCGGACCCTCACCTGGAGGCAGGCAAGGGCACAGGCAGGAACCACACTGCTCTTTGGGCTGTGCTGGGGGCCGTATGTGGCCACCCAGCTGCTCTCGGTCCTGGCCTATGAGCAGCGCCCCCCACTGGGGCCTGGAACTCTGTTGTCCCTCATCTCACTGGGCAGTGCCAGTGCAGCAGCCGTGCCTGTGGCCATGGGGCTGGGTGATCACCGTTACACAGCCCCCTGGCGGGCAGCCGCCCAAAGGTGGCTGCCGGGGTTGCGGGGAAGAGCCTCGCAGGGCAGTCCTGGCCCCAGCACTGCCTACCACACCAGCAGCCAAAGCAGCATCGGCTTGGACTTGAACTAGAGGAAGGGAAAGGCCTCTGCTGACTGCTACTAGAAACATCCATGAATCTTGGCCACCGAGCCAGCCTGTCTTGTGTCCCCACTCCTGGATCAGTGCCCCATATGTGGCCCCACCCTGGCTGAATAAAGCTCTCTGGCTCAGTTTATAGTTCTCTCACTCCACTCAGAAAGGGAGAGGCCAGCAAACAACGACAGAAAGAACTCAAAGAACAAGCCATGTGCATCAAGGGAGAGCCCAACTCCAGACAGGCAGGTATCGCAGGGCAAGACAGGCGACCACTTGAGAGAGTTGAGATGCCTTCAAATCCAACAGATCTTTTGAGGCCCCTCACCTGACATGCCAGCTGCCACAAAATCCACACATACATGTCTCTGGGAAGTATATTTTATTTACATTTTTAAAATCTGTAACTAGTATCTCTTTCTCCTTTCCACCCCCAGAGACTTGGAAAGGGAAAGGAAGGGAATCTCAAAGACCTACTCCCCACGTACAAACACGCACCCCCGTGGCTCACACCAGCAAACGAAAGAGAAAGAGGTCAGAGCCTCCCTCTGAAAGACCCGCCAGGTCTGGGCAGGCGCAAGGAGGGAGGCGCCTGAGGGGGTGGGGTTCTAAAGAGAAGAAAGGGACAGGGAGGGCGCAAGTCAGTTTGAAGGGGTTGAAAGTAGTCCAAGGCCCCTCCCCTCCTCTTCCCCAGGTACCCTACTGCCTCTGCTGGGGAGAAGGGGGACGCCCTCCATCCCCCTCAACACCAGACACAAAGCCAGAGGCAGCCGCCTTTAGCGGTCAGGTCTCTGGACACAAAATACTTTCGCTTTATGGTCTCCCGACGTGGTCACCACCAGGGAGGCGTCTCTGTGGACAGAAAGCACAAGGTTGGAGGGACTGGGGTACTTGGGGCCCAGCCTCAAGCCAGCTACCCAGGGAACCAGGATGGTCTCAGCTCTTCAAGCGCTTCCTCAATTTTAGATCCCTGGTGCCCAGCACTGAAGCCCTAGCAGCACAGTGGTTAAGACCTAAGGCTGCTAACCAAAAGTTCGAATCCACCAGCTGCTCCTTGGAAACACTATGGGCAGCTCCACTCTGTCCTATAGGATCACTATGACTTGGAATCAACTCCACAGCTGTGGGTTTGGTTTGGTTTGGTGCCCAGCACTGTGCCAGCACATCTACACCGAATGAGCATACCTGAAGCTGGCACCAGCAAGTGGATCATATGAGGAGCCCCCAGCACACGAGAGACACAGAGCCAAGTTGGATGGGGGAGTCAGTCTCAGTTCCAAGACTGAGGTGTAAACCACCGGGGTGCGGGCTGGATCGGGCTTCCCAGCATTCCTGCCTCCCAGGCCAGGGCCCAACTACCCTTAGGCATCCTCTCCATACCCGAGGAACTCCCTCATGCTACTCCCGCCTTCCAAAATCACACGCAGATCCCACCTTTGCTCAATTCCCTTACTTGCTGAGAGCAAAGTCCAGGATCTCGGCCGTGTGGCCCCGGTAGTCGGTAAGCAGGCGGCCGGTGCGAGCATCCCAAAGGCGCACAATGCCATCCAGGCTGCAGGTGTAAACCACAGCTGTGCCCGCCTCCCACAGCAGCTGCACGATGCCCGACTGCACAGAGGACGACAAAGGCAGGGCAGGGGCAGGGGTGTGAGCGTGAGAGGCATCTACTCCCAGTTCTCAAGGAGAAGGCGAGGCCGGGGGATGAAGGATGGGAAGGAGAAGAAGAGGGAGTGCCACGGAGAAGGACCAAGTCAGGGCCAGGTCTGGGGTAGATGCCAGCTCCAGGCTGCCGGTACCTGGTGCTGACACTGGTGCCTGAGGGTCTGCGTAGACAGGTCATAGATGGCCAAGGTCCCATCCAGGTAACCAACAGCAGCCAGAGGCATTCTGGGCAGAGGAGAGCACACGAAGGCTCACGGAAGGGCCAGGTCTCACCTGCCCTTCACTCCTTCCTGGTTCCCCAGCCCAGGTCCCCTCCCACAAGCCCCCTTCTCCTACTACGACTGTCTGAAACCACAATTCTGGCTGGAGTCTCTGGCCCTTGGTCTGCCCAGTGCCCCCGCCTCCAGGCCTAGGCTCTAGCTCCCACTCACACACTGCAGAAGCCCAAGGATTCCACTGAGTTGGACTCGCTCTCCTCCCCCTCCCCCAGGCTGGGCTGGGAGGCCACAGTCTCGGGTCTGAAAACGCCCACCACCTATGAGCAAGAGAAGAAGATGAGAAGAGGGACTAGACTTTGGTTCTCTAATACAGAAGAAACGCAGTAAGAAGAGGCAAGATGAAGAATAAGAAAGGAAGGGGAAAAGACACAGGTGGGTGGAGGGCTCCAGAACCATGGTCCAGGACCTACTCACCTTGCCAGTGGTGGCACTGACCAGCTTGGCCTGGCAGTCCACAGAGCCACTTAGGATCAGGCTACCATCCTGGTTGGTGGCAACACAGGTCAGAGGGCCCTGGTGACCCTCAGTCCCTAGGATGCAGCAAGGGGACAAGGTCAGGCTTCATCCTGTCTCCCCTCTGACTCCTGCCCAGGGTCTTGGCCACGTCCCAACACAGGCCCAGGTTAACACTTCCCCACCTCTGATACCTTTTAGTACATGGATAGGGTTTCCCTGCTTCAGGTCCCAGATCCTGATGGTGCCATCTTCATAGCCAACCACAACTCTCTTCCCTAGAGGCCCCAGAGGCAGAGCAACAGAGGAGAAGGGAGTGAATGCTCAGATACACCCAGCAAGAATGGCGAGGGGACAAGGAAATAGCAGAGGAGATCCACTCCCCAGTTCAGGGTAGGAAAGGAGAAGCTGTCTGCTTTGGGGCCGGGAAGCCAGTGCTCCAGATATCAGACCTCAGGGTTTCCTAGACATGGCCCAGAAGGGAGCTTAGGGTGTTGTAGAACCCTGGACGCAATCTCTCTGTACCCCAAAAAAAAGACCCTCAAAGTAGCTGCTCTCACCATCTGGGAGGACCCGGCCACAGGTGGATGGGCAGTTGGGGCCTTGGAAGGTCTTGCAGTCTCCATTTGGGACCTTCCACATCCAGGTGTTGCCGTCAGCCGTGCCCGCCAGAAGGACAGGTGCACGTGGGTGCCACTCCATCCACTAGGCAGAGAGGAAGAGACAACAGGTAGGCCTGTCAGCACACCCCACCTGGGAGACAGCCTCATGAGCCCAACCCAAGCCCTCCCTGCTTCTAGGGTCAGCAGGGACTTTCCAGGTAACCAGTGTGGCCATTCTTGCTGCTCCTGGGGTACACTAGCTCAGAGTGAGCTTGGTCTATTAGAGGTGGAACAGGATTCCCAACCTCTCACCCCCTACCCGAGGCCCATAGAGTTGAATCCCACTCTGATGGCCTCACCTCCAAGTCTCCTGCTTCAAAGGACCAGACCTCCTCCTTGGTGTCCACCTGCCACACTTTCAAGAGACCACTCATGTCTCCTGTGGCCACTAGAGTGGAGTCATGGCTGAAACCAGCACAAGTCACAGAATCTTTATGGCCTACAAGGGAAGTGGGTGGAAAGAGAAGAGAACATCAGGGTACCTAGTGCTGGGACACATGACCCAGGTATCTGGCTCCCCTGAAACTCTCAGATGGGAAAAAAAGAGGAGTGGACCACAGCAGAACAGGTGACCAAACCTGTTGCCACTTCATGAACCAACACCCTCAGGTCTTCTCAGGAAAGACACTGCTGGCCCACACCAAACCAAAGGTAGCCCAGGCCTCTTGAGTCTTACCCTTTCTGTCCACTCTGCACCTCAGCCTAAAACACCCACATCCTTCCCTCCGCCCAATTATGCCTTCACTGATGTCGCCTCCTCCTTAGGTCTTTCCTCCTAGGCTCCCTAAGTTAACTGTTGCTCCTCTTCCCTGTGCCCGCAACAGACCATGTTCTTCTGTGTGTCCCTGGGACCTAGCATAGGGTTGGCACAACACAGGTGTCAATAAATGGCTCTTGATGCAGGCCCACTCCCTAAGACTCCCCAGAAGGGACACAACCTCCCCTAGGCCCCCGTCCTAGGCCCCTCACCTGCACACTCAAAGAGCAGCTCGCCATCGCTGAGCCTCCACACGAAGGCTTTGTCATCTTCACCCCCCGTGACTGCCAAGGTGTTGGTCTTGGGGTCCAGGCTCACACAAAACACAGATGCTGTCCCAAGAGATATTCCATGAGTAAGAGAACAGGGCACCCACCTAGAGCTCTGTCCCTCAGGGCTTCGGCCCACCCCCACGTATCACCCAAGGCAACATGTCTTTCCTCCTGGAAAGAAAGGGTGCATCCAAATTTTTCTAAGTTCCCATGATCAGGTTGTTGGAGAAACCTTCTTTTCCAGGGCAGATCCTCCACCCCCACCCCCTGCTACCTCCTGTCCCCGCTTCACACCCCACACTGATGCCATGGACAAGAGATGAGTATGTGTGCAGGGCACAGTTCTACATATGCGATGTGACCAGGCTGCGTACAAATAGAGTAAGAAGAGCATCATGTTATGGTTTTCTTGTTAAGAGTTAATATGCAAGATTATATAAAATGTGGTTTAAAACACCTGGTGTTCTGCTCCCATAAAGATTTCAGCCTAGGAAACCACAGGGCAGGAGTGGAACACAGGAATCCTATGCGGCAGTTCAACTTTATCCTATAGGCTCGTGATGAGTCAGAATCGACTTGACGGCACACGACAACGTTACTTCTAACTTACAATAACTTTTGCTAGCTTTTATCAAAGATAATTTTTTAAAAGAAAACTAAGACACAGAGAGATTAATAAAGGTCCTAAATTAGTAAGTAGCAGGGCTAGGATTTGAACTCAGGCTGTTTCAACCATCTGGAGCCAAGCTCTCACCCGTTTCACCATAATGCCCCCTATCTATGAGTTCCTCCAAGACAGGGCTAGTATCTTTCCTGTATATGCATCCCCCAAAATGCTCCATACGTAGTAAGTGTTTGACGCTCAAATGCCCAACTGGACTGAGTTCAAAGAGGCCTCAACTGCCCAATGGAAGGATTGTGTCGTGCATGTTGAGGTATGAGTGAAGGCAGGTGATGGCTGGGGTTACTGCTAGTCCTGGGGTCCCAATGCCCAACCGTAAGGTAGATTTTCTGAGAGGCCTACCCGAGTGCAATGCAAAGGTGACCTCGCTATCATCTGGGCCCTCCATGCTGCCGACCACCCCTTCCTGGGGTTCCAGCACCCAGCCCTCCTCGTTGCCCTCCTCCTCTTCTTCCTCTTCCTCAAAGTCTACATCTTCCATCTCCTGGGCCAGATCATCTGCTTTGGGGAGAGAGTTAAAAGATGGAGCTTGGAAGGCGTTGAGAAGGATGGGGATAAGTGTGAACAGGTCTCAGGACAGGGGTGGGTCATGTGGCAAGAGGGGGAGGTGGGGTCCGACAGACAGGGTGTAGCGGAACAAGAAGCTGCCAGGTGGAGCAGGGGTGTGGGAGGGAGGATAGAAGGAGAAGTCCGTCCACACGGGTTTGGCCAGAGACAGTATAGGAAGAGAGGACCGAGGGAATGATGGGAAGGGGGTGTGTGAGGGGAAGGGCCAGAGGAGGCGTCAGGGGAACCCCTACCCAGGCCAGGCCTGAGAACTAACTGTGTGTATGTGTGTATGTGTGTGTGTGTGTGTGTGTGTGTGTGTAGGGAGGTGGGGGAGGGCTGTTGATGGAAATGACCGGTGGGTGTGGGGGAGGGGGGAGCAGCAGGGGTCAGAGGCCAGGGGTGAGCGCCTCCTGTCCCATAGCCTGAGGAGCGGCAGTTCTCACCCGGGTCCGGCGGACCGGGATCCAGTTCTACCACCTCGATAATCTCTTCATCGCCATGGAAGCTTAGAGTCTCCAGTGGGGGGGTGTCAGCAGCGGCCCCGGTTTCCGATTCGGACTCCATGCGGCGCAAGCTTCCGATCCACTTCTCTGGGCCCAAACGCCTCCCAGAGTCAGCCCTGCGAGACGACGCGGAACTCGAGCCCCTCCTCCCGGGAGGAAGTAGGCGTAGGCGACTCCCCGCAAAGGAAGAGCGACGGCCATTTGGCCAATAGCAAGCGGGACTATCTGGCTGAACCACCAATCACAGGGCAGAGTTTTGGGACGGTATGGGGCGTGGCAGGGAGAACATAAACTCCACCCATCCTGACTCCACCCCTAAAAGGAGTGAAACAAGCGAGCGTGCGCGCCCGCCGCGGTCTCATGGGAAGAGTAGTTCTCCTGGGTCCGCTCCGTGGGCTTCTGGGAGATGTAGTATCTGAACTTCTGCAGGAGTGGGGGAGGCCCCTTACGCAAACTACAATTCCCGGCGGGGAGCGCGGTGAAGGGAGGTGGGATCTGAACATGGCGGCGGTGGTAGCTGCTACGGCGCTGAAGGGCCGGGGGGCGAGAAATGCCCGCGTCCTCCGGGGTAAGGAGAGGGACCCCGGGGAGGGCAGGACTGCAGGGGATTACTTTTCTTTCACATCCTGCCCGGCGATAGCAAGAGGTCAGGACTGTCCGTTCATCCCCACACCCCTCTGCAGGATCTAAAAGAGACTGGGGGCTAAAAGGTGCTCTCTAGAGGTCACCCAGTCCATTCCCCTCTCTTCGGGTTACACGACACCTCCAGAGTCTAGCTGCGAGAGGGAGCCCCAAGGAAGCCTTTTAGACTCCCGCGCTCCAGGTGTTTCACACTCACCGCAGTGCAGAGAAAAGAGCCCTGGGCTTCTGGAGACTTGGGTTCTAGCCCCGGATAATTAGTGGTTTGACCTTGTGCGAGGGAGTTCATCTCTCGGAGCTTCAGTTTCCTCTTCTATAAAATGAGCGGATGAAATAGGCTATGTTTAAGCTCCCTTCCAGTTCTAACATTCTGCAGTTTTAAAACCTTTCCCCGGATTTCCTTCATACGGCTCATGTCAGTCCCACTGCAGTCCTTCCCATCCTGTCGTCTGAGGAAATGAAGAACAGCAAAGCTCGAAGCTCGCTCTCCTGGCACCAGGGTGATGAGTCCGTAGTGACGTGAAAGTGGCTTCCAAAGGTGCCACCTCGATGGCGATTTTCCCCTTTCCATTTGGATTCTCACTGGCACTCGTTACTCCAAACTGCAGTCACTCCCCTTCCTCAGGTCTCAACCACGCCTCCCCAGCCCCTCCCCCAGGCTTTCTCCTCACCCCCTCATTCTGACCTTCCTAACCTCCATCCACAGGGATTCTCTCAGGAGAGAAGGCTTCCCAGAACAGGACCCGGGCACTGCAAAGCCACAGCTCCCCAGAGTGCAAGGAGGAGCCTGAGCCTCTGTCTCCTGAGCTGGAATACATTCCCAGAAAGAGGGGCAAGAACCCCATGAAGGCTGTGGGACTAGCCTGGTGAGTTTAAACTGACCCTTTGCCCACCAATGGGGAGTGGAATCCAAGGGAGGGCAGGACCCAGAAACTTCTTCAAGTTTCAAATGGTGAGCTCAATCCAAGGTATGGGAACAGAATTGCTGGGTGCAGGGATTGGAATGTCAGAGGAATTGGGCAAGGGTGATGAGAAGGTATGTGGAATTGAGGAGGGAGTGGGTTTTCTGTGGAGTAAGCTGGATTGATCTGGTTCGAATTTCAGTCCCTGACCTCATCCTCCCATTAGGAAGCTTGAAGTGAGACCCAAGTTCCCGTAATTAATTAATTGAAATCATGTGAGATTATATTAGCTGTATAGTAGCACCTAGAAGCTATTCAGTGCATTGTTATTTGGATCTGACTCTGACCTTAATACATAATTATTAATATTTAAGGAGGGGGAAATGAATATTTTCCTCAGCACCTGAGGTATGTCAGTACTTTATAATTTGTTAGTCTTTCTGAGATAAATATCACATCCCCATTTCATAGAGGAGGGAACTGAGGCTCAGAGCGGGGATTTTCACCAAGTCTTGTGACTCCACGCTCTTTCCTCCACACCAAAGGACCTCCCAAGTAGCAGTTACTCAGATTAAGGAGTGGAGTCTGAGAGGGGTGAGGGGGCGGTTCAGGAAGAGGGAAACTGTCAAGACTTGGTACAGGAAAGAGCATGTATGGACTTTCCGGAGGATCATGCACAATTGGTGTAGCAGGAATGCAGGGTTCATGTCAGAGAGTATCAGTCTGTAGGGGAGAGGGGTGAAGAGGTAGGCAGAAACCCAGCCACACTGGGCCTTGTGTGCCATGCCTAGGAGTTTGGACTTGGCAAGCAAGTGATGGGGAGCCGTTACAGGGCAGCACAGGATCTGATTTGTGTGGGGCCCTCTGGCCGCCAGCACAGAAGATTAATAGGGACAAGAAGTATTGCGGTATCCATGTAACTGGTGCAGCTTGAATGGGATTTCCCCCAACCTCTCTGGCTTAGGTCGGCCCCTCTCCAAACCCCATGCACATCTCCCCACCCCTAGGGCCATCGGCTTTCCCTGTGGTATCCTCCTCTTCATCCTCACCAAGCGGGAAGTGGACAAGGACCGTTTGAAGCAGATGAAGGCTCGGCAGAACATGCGGGCATCCAACACGGGCGAGTATGAGAGCCAGAGGTTCAGGGCCTCCTCCTAACATGCCCCATCTCTTGAAGTTGGATTCGGGGTGCAGGCCTGAGGAACACTGCAAACCTCCCCTAGACTGTATTGACCATGGGTTCCCTCAGGATTGGCTGATTCTGGTCCTGCCAGTGAGGTCCACCAGGGGGCGCTTGAAGCCCAGGCTGCTGCCAGCCCCCGCCTCTCCCGCATGGAGAAGCCAGCCAAAGGCAAATAAAGTTAAGCGTTTGAGTGGAAAGGAACCAGGCCTGGGTTTGTGAGTCTCTGGGGATGGGGGGGCAGAGGGTGGGGCTGGTTACTCATGTGTGCTCCCTCTCACAGAAGCGCTTAGTGTTCCCAGCTGGGGAACAGGCTTAGGTGCAACAAGCCCAGGCTCAGGCCCTGGGGACCAAGCCCACTGAGCTGCTGGCCAGGAGGGTGGGGTCTTGCTCAGCCTTGAAGCAAGTAATAAAAGGAATCAAATAGAACATTTAGGGTGTGGAGGAAAAAAGCACTCTTGGCCGAGTCCAAATGACTTAATCTCTTGGCCTCAGTTTCCTCATCTGTAAGAGGGATTGGACTAGTGATTTCTAAGGCAGGGGTTCTGAACCTGGGGTCCATGCCCCCACCTCATATGCAAAATTGTGTGTAGCTTTGTGAAGAAGAGTTAGTAGCTCTCATGAGCTTTCTGAAAGGGTCCATGACGCAGAAAAGGTTAAGCATTACCTCTCTGGGAGCTCCCTTCCAGATCCAGTATTGCCAAGATTGAACATCCCCTCTCCCCAGGGGTTGAGACTTTGCTAGCCTATGGCATCCATCATCAGGAATTGCTGGGGGAAGGTGTATCAGATTATCTTAGAAAATGGGAGAAACCAAGCCAGAATGCAAAGTAGGAAGTGGATGCTTTGGGCAGAGCCAGACTGCCACTCCCCAGCTGACAACTTCACAGAACACCAGAGCCATACAGGGTTTTAATTTCTAAACATAAATCTTTTATTACATTTTTGGTTGTATCCCTTTGTGTGATATACTTAGGACCAAGTACGTAATAGAGAAGTCATAAATACACCCTTGGGCCGACAGGCCTTCCACCCCCACCTGATAGAGTGACCCTTGCCCCCCCATTCCAGCTTGAGGCACCTGTGTTAAGAAAGTGGTGGTTTGCTGAGGTGACGGGGCTCAAGTCGCCCAGTGGAAGTAAGAACAGAGAGGAAGTCACCTCAGGATCCTCCCGCGGTTAGCAGGAGGATAGAACACAGAAGTCTTTGTGGGAGCCACGGTAGGCTCAGATCTATCGCTCAGACAGGGTGGGGGCCCCAAGGCATTTTTTTCTGCCCCCACCCCAGTCTCTCTTCACCCTGTTACTTCCTGGCCACACCTATAATCCTATAAGCCACCCATCTCCTGACCTCCGCCCCTCACTTTCTGCTCTGAGCAGCCTGAGCACAGAGATCTCAGAACCACCCGGGGGGGCCCCAAGCAGCTTTGGAGAATGGGGACCAGATGGCTGAAAATGGACCTGCTCTCTACCGCCACCACAAGCTATGAGGGTGCCCGGGACAGGTGCTGCTCTGATTGGCCCTTGTACTTTGCTTGCTTTCTCTTCCTACCTCCACCCAGATAAACAATATATACACATACTGAAAGAAGAAGGGGTGAAGCAGGGAGGCCCAGGTGCCCAGATCTGAGTGGCAGGCGCCACGGGTTGCAAAAGAAGCACAGGACAATGGTCTGTAAGTTCAGGTGACTGGATCAAAGCTCTTGGCTTTGTGGAGCTGAGGGAGGAGACAGCTATAGCTACCTAGCCTAGAAGCCTGTGGTGGAGATGGGAGGGGAAACTTTATCACCTTAAAGTCACCTCCCCCTTTCATATTCCCTTTTAGCTACAAGAAATAGGCTCTTTTCATGCCCTCCCCCTCAGCTCCAGGTGTTAAGAAGAATTTGGTGCCATGTAGTGGCTAGAGGAGAGAAAACACATCTTCAACCCAGTCCCTGCTGAGCCCACCAAGGGCAAGAGTCAGTCCTGGCTCTTCCAGCCCCACCAGGTAACTACAACATCCACAGCCAGAGAGGCCACCACCCCCAGGGCCAAAAGGAAACTGGGCATATCACTTGAAGGGCAGAAAAGGGTCTGAGGCCGAGATCCCAGTCACAGGGCCCAGCCCTCTAGGAAGGGAGAGCCCAGGGTGGGGTGGAACAGGGATGTGCTCCTTAATTGCGATCCCCCACCAGCTGCAGCACAAAGGTGAAGATGTAGACGATGTCAGTGTAGATCTGCAGGGCACCAGTGATGTAGTCCTCCGGGCTGATGGTATGCTTCCGGTTCCCCAGAACCAGCTGTGTGTCATAAGCCAGGAACTGCAGGGACAGGGAAATCAGAGTAAGAACACACGGCCCATGTCCAAAGCTCATTTTGGGTCAGCAGTTTGTCCTGGGAGCCTACGGGCCGTGCAGTGTTCTAGGGAGACACATTAATGAACTGCCCTCAGGTCACAGTCTAGGAAGGTAGACAGAAACCCCAATCTATAATGCAGCCTGCTGAGTGTTCTAATAGCAGGCAGTATGAATCAGAGATGCCAGGAATACCCAGAAAATTAAGATACCTCTTGACAGTGGGGAGAGGGAAGGTCAGCTATGGCCCTACTCCCTGCCCCCCAAGCAGCCTAAATCCATGCTTCATTCCCTCGGCTCCTACCCCTCCATCCCCTCACCTCCCCATGCTGGCGAGAGGGCAGGGACCAACTCACCAGGGTGAAAACAATGGCCCCCAGAGCAGCATAGAGCATGTGGAGCCAGGGAACCTGGGAAAGAGGGGGACAGGGATGGGTTAGGACTTTAGCAAAGCACAAAGGCTGAGGCAGGCCCTGAAGACCCACTTCCCCCACAGCGATCTGGAATCAAGAGTGGGTCAATCCAGGAAACAAGTCCTCCATGAAAAGACTACTTCTGCCTTCCAGATCCTGACAGAAATTGAGAATTTAATATATTTGGAAGAGAAAACAGAGGCCATCCTACAAAGACCAAATAAAGCCAGTCACAGCATCTCTTAGACAAACCAATCTCCAGAGTTAGTCAAGGTACGGAGGCTTCCACTGTACTTCTGTGAGAAAGAAGGTGGTTGAGTTACAGCTCTGGCAAGGGCAGAACCAGGCAAGCACTGGTTGAAGGGCCCCATCACCTTTCCCCCAATCACTGTCAGTGTTCAACAGAGGGGTTCCTGCAGCCCAGACTAAGGAACAAGGGCTGTGAAGGCAGGCCCCCACCCCATCCCCCGTGAGTATCAGAACCAGGGAGCACCCACAGGACCATCCTGCCCCACACTCCTACGGGTGCCTCTCCTCAGAAGGGCAGGGCCAGCCTGCCAGGAAGGGGGCAGGAAGGCCTCTTGTTCATATCCTTTGCCTTTCCACACCCTTCTCCATGTGATTTCCCCCCGTGTGGCTCCCCTCAGCCTAGAAGCCTCATGCTCTCCCCAGCTGATGGACTAAAGGAGGGGTTAGATACAGCAATCGTTAAGATCCTCCTTCCCCGCCAAGCCCATCTTCTCAGTCCACTGGGTTTCAGAAGTCCTCGAGCAGCCTTCTAAGACTTGGTCTCAGCTGTCCACCAGATCCAATCCACCACTTCCCACAGGAACATGGTGCTACTGTACAGGGCTTCAGGTGCTGTGGCTTCCAGGGCTACCTGTCTCCAAGTGGAGATTATCCCCTGACCCAAAAGGATGGGGACTTGATGTTGGCGCCATTGTTAGACACAGCCTGCCCAGAGGCCTTTGGGGCCTGGGTGGGGACCTATAACACAGTGCTATACAGGAAGCCTGCTCAGAACACCATGTTCATTGATTCTAGCTCTCTTGGGACACTCACGTATTTGAAGGACAGCACAATGGCAGTGACAATCCCAGTCACCATCAGCACGATTCCCAGGACACAGAAGAGGCCTGTACATGAGGTGAAGTCCACCTGCCAAGAAGGGAGCAGCAGGCAGCTGTCAGAAGACTGTCACCAGCCCCACCAAACAGCCCAGCCTGGTCAGGCCCCACCCACCAGGGAGGCCCAGTGCTGCCTCCTGCCTCTGCCCACGGGACACAGGAGTGACTGTGACCTTCTAGGTCAGGACAGACACAGGAGACAGTTTTGTAGATGCAGATATGAGGGGAAGGCAATCAGGTGCTCTAAGGGAAATCCCTGGTACAGGGGTCTGGGTCCTCCCATCTCAGGAATCCCTTCTGCTCCTAGGCTTGCTCAACAGTCAAGTGCAAAGGGCCAGGTCTGTATAAGAAAGGCGGGGAGGTGGCCAGGGAGGGGCCTCCATGCCCTCACCTTGGTCTGGAAGCAGAAGATGGTGACTGAAATGGACACCACGGCAGTGATGATCATTGCAATGATGACAGCTTTGGTACTATGCATACTGGGAAGGAGTTGAGAGAGGTCAGAGGCATAAGCCATGTAGGGATGTCTTCAAAACCACCACTTCAGAAAGATCCTGCCCAGACTCCACCTATGCAAATAACTGCCAGCCAGGGACACCCCACTCCCCCAAAATAGACACTTCCCAAGAGTACTGGGATACAGCTGTCCCTGAATGTACCTGGCAATGGTGCCCGTCATGAAGCCCAAGGCAAGAGTCTAAGGGAGGGATAGAGACAAGAGTTAAACACTTAAGAAGAAAGGCAGGACATGGGCTGGGGGGGGGGACGACGGTGACCATGGTGAATCGTCAGAGCTGGGGACAAACGTGACCAAGTAGGAAGGTGGAAGCCACAGAGGAGACCAAGAGATAAGGTAGGGGAGGGAGCCAGGGACATCCTTCTGCAACTATGTCCCCGTGCCCTCCTTGGGGCCAGCCCTCCCTCAAACCATCTCACCCTCCCTCTACCCTTCTGGACTTACAAAGAGGGTCAGCAAGATGATGTTCCATGGGAAACGGCGTCTGAAGGGAAAGGGAAACCGTGATTAAGTAACGTGGGACTGATCAGGTATGAGAGTCTCTTTTAGCAGAAAGAAGTGCTTGGCTTATGTCCCGGAGGATCAAGCCTTGACTCAGGGAGACCTTTGGTACCTGCTCAGGTGTTCTACGCAGGGGCAGCGTGGGGCAATGGCAGAGGCCAGGGCTATGGAGCCAGAAAAATCTGGCTTCAACTGCAGCCCGTGAGAGTGTGATAAAGTTAGCCTTTTTGGAGCCCCAAGTTCTTCCTATTTGTTAAGTGGTTAAAATGCTACATATCTTGCAGATTGTTGTAAGGAAGACAGACAGACAGAGAGAGAGACACATAGTACGCACACATGGTACTTTGTATACATCAGAACAGTAACTGCTATCATTATTATCATCATTTCTTGCAAGTCTCCATTCATCTGCCATAAGGACTCCCCTTTTTTTCCAAAAATCTTCTGCCCTTCTCCCACCTTCTGCCATCCCTTCTCATTGTCTAAACCTCTGGGACTCACCTGGGTCCCTGGCAGCACGCAAGAGTCAGGTAGGTAGCCAGGAAGACAGCACTGGGGAGGAAGAGATGGGGAGGTAGTCTGCAGGCCCAAACCACCCCTCAGCCCCTCCTGGCCCAGCCTGGCAGCACAGGAGCAGGTAGTAGGCTAGAGGCCCAAAGAGCTCTCTGGAAGTCTGAAGGGAAGCTACTCAGTAAGAAGCAAGGACAAGATACCCCCCAGTCAGGGACACTGAGAACCTCTGTGACACTAGCATTCTGACCAGAAGTAGGTGTAGGGAGGCCACAGCAGATAGATTAAGGAAACAGGGACCATTTTGCAGGATGCATATTGTCCCCACAGTTCCCCACTCCCACCTTCACAAGTCCTGTGATTCTGTTAGTCCTCGTTTGGCCCTACATACCCACACTTCCCAGCACAGGAACCTGGCAAAAGCAACTTGGAGGGCCCCTCAAAAAGCATTTTGGTCCCTGCCCTGAGGAGAGCAGATCAACTAGAAACTGAAACCGTTGTCCCTGAGCAGAGAGCAGCACACACTCACTAGGATGCATAGTAGACAGCCACATTTCTCTTCACGAACTTGCCAACTGGTTCCCTGTGGAGACGGGAGAACAAGGACAGCTCATACCACAACATATCTGCCTCTCTGCCAAGTCCCGCCAGGCAGCCCAACTCCTTATCATCTTCTCTAATTGCCTGCCTCCCAGCTCCTCTTCCCCATCCATCCATCTCTCAGAGCAGGGCTCTCCCCACCCCACGCTCCCAGGGCCCAGGGCTGGTCAGAGTGGGGCAGAGAGGCCTAGAAACTCACACGAAGGTGAAGATAGCGATGATGCCGACTGTGATCAACAGCTGGATGGAGATGATGGTGTAAACCTGGAACACAGACGGCCCAGGGGCCATGCAGCTCACCACCCCACCCCTGGCCTCTCCCAGGAAACAGCCAGCCCCCAGGACCAGGGAGCCCCAAAGACCTCACCACTGGACCCCACTCCTTCCCTATCTTTTAGTGGTGCAGGAGGCTTTTTTTCTCTTGAAGGATTTACTCTTACTTTGTTCCCACTCCACAGTCCTGCTGCAGCCTGGCCTAGAGGCCACCCGCACACCACCTGCACTGAGGAGTGGGCTCAGATACTACACACGCCCTCAGAGCTGAATACTTCTGCCTCTCCCCACCTCCAGCTGCTCCTTAGCATCGCCCCTCCCTGTCCTATATCTGGCCTGAGTTCACAATTTACGTCCCTTGCTTCACTGCCATCATACTACCCATGATGGCCTCCCATTTCAAGCAGCTCAGTCTGACGTCTATTGCGTATCTGCTCTGAGCAAGGTACTGTGTAGACGTGGGCTGGGGGACAGGTGGGTTAGCAATGATCATTTCTGACTTTAAGTTGCTTATAGTCAGTCCAGCAGGAGAAAGACGTCTGGGAAGATAAAGCACTTCCCAAGTTGAATGTACGCTCCCAGAACAAGGCGAGGAGGGGGACACTGGGTTCAGGGAGCTGGCGCCACTTTCAGGGAACACAGGGCTAGAGAGAACCTGGAAGGGAGGGGGCCAGACCTGGAGCCACAGAGAGGGCAGCCAGCAGCTTACAGGGAATGAGTCCTGGGGCTAATACTGCCTCCCTCCCCCACCTCTTCCCACAGCCGGAGAGGCCCAGGCACACCTGCCTCCCAGCCCACATCTCACCTTTCGGATGAAGGTGTGTCGGACTTTCCTGTCATCCCAATCTCCAGGCCCAAAGTTGTCACTCACTGCTCTCTCTTCCCCACCATAGCCGTCACCTGGGCCCGCGGACAGATAATATATGACCAACTGGGGACCTGGGACATGTGGCCCCAGTCCCAAAGCTCCTCACACACACACTCCCCCAACAAAGTCTCAAGTATCTCCAGCCAAAGACAAGGGTTATAACTCAGGAACTCCCCCGACTGCAAGCCAGGGCCCTCTCCTCTGGATGCCCTCAGTGTCCCACAGCTGGCCTGGGCACCACATGGAGCCATGTGACCTGCAGTGAGGGGCTCAGGTGGGAGCCATTGCACCAGCATGCATTTATAGAGAGCCCTGTGTGCCCAGCACACATCTGGCTGCCTAGTGGGGCACAAAAGCACATGGTTCCTGCCATCCAGGGGCTCCCGATCTAGGGAGCAGCCAGGCAGGAGCAGGCCCGGAGCATCAGTTGGAGTCCTTCCTGATGAGCAAGGTGCCCAGGGGATGGGTAGGAAGTGGCTGCATCAGAGCAGAGGATGGAGGGTGGGGAAAAGGAGGGCAGAAGAACATCGTGCTTATGTGTGGTTGTGCACGTGTGTATAGGGTGAGGAAAGGGTGCAAAGACTGATCAGCATCAGGCCTCCCGGGGTGGAGAAAATGTTAAGGCCTCCTGGGACACAGATATGTCAAGTGTATACATGCCCGGGACGAGGTGGGACTAAAACGTCACTGATGTGCTATTTGCCTAGAGCACATACACCCAGAGAGAGTTGGCCGTACACTTGCTTCGGGATTCCAGGGACGCCGTGGGCACTCAGAACATTCCTTGAATGCCTCCTTGGGAAATGCTTTTAAAATCTGTGTAACAGCCACCAGGATAACAGTCCCGCTGCATTCTAATCTCATCTCATTTCTGACTAACTATAGGCTTTACCTGCTAGATGTTTACCAAACTCCACATGACTTGGATGTTTGCAAAATCAGATTTTACCTTAAAGATTGAGATTTGTCAGCACAGAGGGTATATTTTTTTTAAATGTGTGTTGGGTTTCAAAAGCAGTTCCTAAGGAAGATGGCAAGTCTGGGTGGGTTGCAGCTGCCTTGTTGGGAAACAAGGAAACAGTCCCCTAAGGTAACCACACTGAGAATTACCAGCCACTCTCATCCGTAGGTGCAACTTCCAGTGCAGCGCTTAGGGGCTCAGTCTCCTTACTGGATAAAGAACTAGCTTGTGGCTTGGGGGCTAAGTGCTGAGGAAAAAGTAGGAAGGTAAAGAACACAGGGGAACAGAGAGAGATCTAAACAGAGAAGACGAGAAAAAGGGATTAATTGGAAGTTGATAAGAAAAGGAATGGAAGGAGGCGGCCTCATATGCTGCAATTGCTGCCTCCTCCCCCGCCTCCCCCATCTGCCCCTCAAGGACTCACCGTAGTTTGTGGGCATCGGGTGGATGGGGGGCATAGGCTGTGGGTAGCCAGAGGGGTGACCGTAGCCAGGTTGCGGGTAGGCAGGGTAGGCGGGGTACCCACCCGGGAGGACAGATGGCTGCCCATAGCCCCCAGAGGGTGGGGGGCCAGGGTAGAGGGGGTTGCGGTCCTCATACGGAGGAGGGGCACTGGGGATGGACATGGCCGCTCAAGGGCTGAGGAACCCAGCTGCTTGGACCTAAAATGGAAGATAAGAAAAGCAGTCATGAGTGGACAGGCCCAGCTCACTCAGCCAACCCGCCTCCCTTCCAGCCCCAGCTCAGGCCACCTCTGTGGGAAGGAGCCCCTCATACTTTCTCTAGATCACAGCGTGTCCCTCTCTCCCCACCGTCAATCCCCTCCAGATCAGCTCCTGGCCCTCCTGTCAGCTTTTTGGCCTGGACCTCTCTTTACTGTGCAGCCTCCTGGCCTAGGTAAGCAGCAGGAGGGGGGATTTAGTTCAGGAGCCCAGAGGGTTTCCTGAGCATCAGTGGTGTGAGAGATGAGGCTCCAGGAGGAGCCTGGGAACTCCCCTGTTCTCAGTTAAGAAAACCTTCCAGTATCGAGGACCTGACGTCAGAACTAGGGAAGAAGCTGGATGGCCCAGCAAAAGCTCTCAGTGAGTCACACGGCTGGCCAAGCCGGCTGGGGCCCACTGAAGGGGTCAGCCCAGCCCCCACAGCAGCTGGCAGGAGCACCAGGCTGAACGCCAGAGCTGGGGCAGGGCCAAGGCTCCAAGTGGAGAGCTGGAGGAACAGGAAAACAAGCTAACCCCAGCACCAGAGCCGCCAGGCCCTGGAGAGGGAAGGGGCCAGGGGACTGGACCAGGACAGGCGGAGGCAGGGGACGCCTGAGAGGCCTGGGAGAGTGGGTGCCCAGGTCTGGCCACTGTGCAAACAGGCAAGCCTGAGACAGGACTTTCTGGTTTCTTCAAATAACAGCCATGACGCGTCAGGTAGGCATGTAGCAGTGTGTGTCCGCGACTGCTCTCTTCACTGGCCTTGCCTGGGAGTGGATAGTGAGGGCAGGGCCCCGAGGCCCCCTAAGAGAGGGAGACACACTCCCCAGAGAACCCCAGGGTCTAGAACCTCTGTGAATCCTGCCTGTCTCCCCCCAGGGGCGGTGGCTCGTGGGAAGGCGAGAGAGCTGAGGGGTCATGCCCAAGAGCAAGTCAGCACCTTCTCTGTGGTAGGAAGATCCCACAGCCAGGGCAGGGCCGAGCAGGCAGGTAGAGGGAACCTCAGAAACAGAGCTAGAAGAGACCAAGGTTGTGTAGCCCCAAACACTCACTTCAGATGAGGGAACCAAGGCCCAGAACAGTGACGTGAACCCCTGGGGCACAGAACTAGCAGGTTAGTGGCATCACCAGAATGGAGGTCTTCAGGGTCCTAAGTATATGTCCTTTATGCTATGCTGTGTTCTTTATGCCACTTCTACCAAATAAATGTCCCCCAGGCCTGCTGTTTCCCTCTGAGATGGCAGAAATGGGGGCCTGGGAAGACCTAAGAAGGCTGTCCCCTGAGCCCTGGGAGGGAAAAGCCCCGACAGAGTCTGGGCACCTTGATAGGGGCACCACTGCCCCCTAGAGCACCCAAGGTGCAGGCCTTCAGCACCCTACAGGGAGGAGGCACCCCCAAATCCGGGTCAGCAGACACCCTCAGAGCCTCTGCTGGAAGAGAAAACTAGCTTCTCTTTGTAGGGCACCCTGAGAGTTGGATGGTTCAGGGATCAGATAAAGTATGGTCTTATCTCTTCTCTCTTATGGCAACCAGGATAACTCAAGGGAAGGCCACAAGGGGAGGGGGGTAGGAATCACATAACAGGCCAGGGCTCTAAATGGGTTATTTTGAGGAAAGCTGTTTTCCATCTCCCTGAGTAAACGGGACAGAGCCAGAGCCAGCACGTGTTGGGTCAGAAGTAAGAAAGGCCTTCCTCACAGTGAGGGGTGTGGGGCAGCAAACCAGGGTGGCAAAAGGAGGTAGTGGCAGAGGGCCACCCCTCCCCCCAGCCCTGAGAAATCTGGGTGCGGAAGACAACAAGGAAAAGACTACAATTTCAAGTGTTGTGAGTTTTAGAAACTGAGAGATATTAACTGCTTTGAAAATGGCTTGGGCTTATGTAAGTTTAGGGAAAAATCTGTAACTAGTTAAAATATGTGAATCCCTTTAACAGGAAAAAAAAGACAAAGAAAACTGTGTTCCCCTCCCTGGAGTAAGAGATTCCTTCTCCCTATACTCCTCCATCCCTTCCCCTCTGAAAACAGTCTTTGCCTCCACAAACAGAATGGCATCTTCTTTGGAGGAAGGGGCACAGGGCAGGTCACCTTTGGAGTAGGGTTACCTGTCGTTATTGCCATCATCTCAGCACCCCAGGCCCACATGACATCCACCATTAGGGTGGTGGTACACAGAGGCTGGCTGAACACGGCCCAAGTGGCCCTGGCAGGAAACACCCTGGGGTTGGAAGTGAAGCCACCAAACAATGACGTGACCATGACCTGGTCCGTCACCTCCTCAGGCCTCAGACAACAGCTCTGTGAAATGAGTTGCATCGGCCAGATGATTGCTGAGCTCACTTCCAGCTCTAACATACTGTGATCCTGGAAATTATCTGAGCAGCCAGCTATGTGGAGCCAGCCCTTGGCCCAGCCAGACATCTGCCCCGCCCTCCGTCCTCTAAGCCAAGCGGGGCAAACAGCTCCCTACCCAGACTAAAGGGGCTGTGGCCACAGAGCAAAGGGTGACTCACAGAAAGAAAGGCCAGCCTTGGATGGGCCACTAGGACTCCAGCTCAGTTGGCTGCTGACTCACAAAGACTACCTTCTCCACTCCCTAGACCCTCCCCATTCACTCCTCCGGTTTCAGAGGAATTCACCAGTAGACCTGACTGCTGAGAACAACAGTTCAGTTCTCTGAGGGCCTCAGCCACCTGCCCATCCTCACCAGAGTTGGCACTCACCTCACTCTGCCTCAGTTTCTTCACCTGGAAAATGGGTTTAATGCTAATAAGAGTACCCTCCACAGGGTTGTTACAAAAATGAGAACACACATGTAGAAACCAACCCGATAAACCCCAGTCTTGTGTCAACCTGGCCTCTAGTGTAAATGTTAGCTATTTTTAGTTACTGTTTCATTAAATCCTTGCAATAGCACTGGAAAAACTATTATTATTATCCCCACTAACAAATGAAGAAATTGGGGCTTAAAGAAATTAGGTAACTTGCCAAAGGTTACCTAACTAGGGTGTGATGAAGTCAAGACTTGATCTCCAAGACCCACATTCTTAATCATTCTGCTCTAATTCTTCATTTGGACACCCTGCCTATCCTAACTTCTCATCACTTCATGGCTTCCTGTTGAAGACCTGCTAATGACAAACCAAGAGGCTGAAGACAGAAGATTCACACAGAAGCAGACACCTTTGTAAAGCCTAGCTAGTCAGCCCTCTCCACCATCCCACAGTTCCCAAACTCTGTCCAACCACCACAAGGAGAAGTATTGTTATTAGTTGCCGTCAAATCGATTCTGATTCATGGTGATCCCATGTGTGCAGAGTAGAACTACACTCCATAGGGTTTTCAAGGTTGTGACCTTTCAGAAGCAGATCGCCAGGCCTGTCTTCCGAGGTGCCTGTGGGTAGCTTCAAACCGCCAACCTTTCGGCTAGTAGTCGAGTGCTTAACTGTTTGCGCCATCCAGGGACTTTGGTTCAGAGCTAGAGAGTCATAAATGGCACAGCTGAAAGTAAAAGTGGTGATCTAAGGCAGCCAACCCCCTCACTTTACCAGCCAGCCAACAACAGTGCAGGCAGGTAGAGTGACTTGTCTTTGGTCACAAAGCTGGTCTAGTAGAGATGTGGATGCAGGAGAGGGAGAGAGGCTCATGGTGTTAAGGCCAGTCAGGAGAGATGCTACACTCGGTTCTGAGCAATGCCAAGGAAAACACAGTCAGACTGGCAGAAGCCTGGAGGCCTGGAGCCAGGTTAGCCTCAGCAGCTTTGAAGCCTGCTCTCTGACTCCTGCCCAACCTATACGAGGGCCCTGGCCACTTCCACATCACTAAGGCCTCAGCTAGGGATGAGGCATAGGGCTGGCATCTGTCTAGCCTGTAGCAAAAGGAGGACATGGGCAGTGTTTACTTTCTTAGCTATGACCAAAGGTAAGAGCCAGAGAAGAGTGGAAAGTAGAAAGAGAGGGAAAAGGGAGGAAGAACATCAAAGACACAGTGAGGAAGATGCCCAAAGACTAGAACTCAGGTTGTCTGGGTTCTGCTGGTAGGTATTGAGAGGTTCACAGTTTCCAGAGGCTAAAAAGGACCTTCCCACTGGAAGCCCAAATTTTCCTAAAATACAGTAGGCATTTAGCTTCTGTTTGAACAAACTCTAGTAAAGGGAGCAAGCTCACTGGGTTGGCAGGCAGCTGGGATCACTGACACATTTTTCCTCACAATGCCTGTTACTGAAGCATTCCAACTCTGCCCTGTCCATGATCTAAGTTTGTCCTCCCTCCCCACCACCCCTACACACACCCCCGTCCCCCACCAGAGCCAGGGCCCCACCTGTGGGGCTCCAAGGCCCAGCCTGGGATGGCCACAGAAGTGGGTGGGCTCTGTCAGATGCAGAACTGGGGAAGCACCCCTTTCCCCTGGAGCCACCTCAGTGGGTCGGTGGGGTGACCACACCCCCAGCCTGCTGAGGCCCAGGCTCTGCTCAGGCATCTGAAGGGTTAAGGCTCTGGAATCTGCGGAAAGGAGGCCTGAGTTACTGGGGTTACAGCAGAGGGTGTGTATGTTGGAGGGAGGGACGGAAAGGAGCAGCTGACTGGTCCAGGCCGCCTGCCCTTCTCCCTGCCAAGAACAGATGCCCGGAGCCAGAATGGAAAGAATACCTCAGAGTGTGCATCGCAGGAAACCCCACCTAGCAGGCAGTGAGCATGACTCCTGGCCCACTGTGCCCAGGGCTCTGACAGGTTCCTGTCCTCCCTTTGCCTTACCCTACCCCAGCTCCCCAAGCCCTTCCTGTCCTCGCTGCCCTCCCCTCCCCCACAAGAAAACACTTTACCCTCCTCCTCTAGGACACAGACCTGAGGGCAGAAGAGGAAATAGATAATCTGGGCAAGTCATGGGCCTGAAGCAGTCAGGGACCAAGGGGGCCTTAATATCCCGTG